TTACCAGCATCTCTCGCTGAACAGATATATTTGGCTTTCATGCACAGAAGAATAAGTCACTGGAGCGCGCTAGATCTTGGAACGTAGAAGTAGGTAGTTTCCCTTTCGGCCTGCGTGCCATGTTATGCATTTACTTTATTAAGGATATTAGTTAGTTGGCCTGTGCACCTGAGTTCTCTAGCTCAGGTGTGGCATAGCACCCCGTACTCTTTATGTTACGTTTTGAATTAATGAGATTTCACCTTTATTTTATAAGTTTTAAATATCCTGAAAATCTGGGGTGTTACAGGGCTGCCTTCGAGGTTCATATGAAAATATTTCCGAATCTATTTCATCTCTTCGTGAATCGGTTTATACACTTCTTGATTACGCCAAAAAGGGGGAAGAGAGATTCAGTCATTTGGAAGGCTTGCTTGAGATGATGATGACTGCCCTGGCCACCCGAAATGTTGGTACAAGCAGTAGTAGAGGTGGAGGTGGCAGATCTGCTGGCAGAAATGTTGCTAGAAGAGGAGGATTAGAATATTGGTTCGGTGGTGGTGAGGCTGACAGTCCAGGAGGATCAAGCAGCGCAAATACCACTAACCGTTCTTTTCGTGACATTGTTTGTGCAGGTGGAAATATTGAGCAAATCAATTGGTATAACCGTGCAGCTCTCTATTTGGAATCCACACCAAGAGATGGTAGAGTTGAAAGAATGACTGGATGAGCCTAATGGTGAAATGGTAGAAATCTTTACTCAAAACGATCACACTCGAGATCGATTCCCCCGTAAGGACTTATTTTTACAAGTCAAGTTTTCGGACAAGCAAAATGTGCCAAGGAGCACAATGCTACTAAAAAGAGCACAATGCTGCCAAGGAGCACGATGTGTGCTAAAAGAGCACAATGTTCAAAAGGAGCACGATGTTCAAGTCAAGGAGCAAGATGTTCAAGTCAAAGGAGCACAATGTGGCAAAGAAGCAAGATGATCAGAAATTGGATAAATTCGAAGGAATTTATTCTAAGTCTACCCACATGCCACAAGAAGCCAAAATTGCCTGA